AAAATTCAGTTTGTGCAGCCCATACCACCAAATGAACCCCTTTTTTTGGCTTGCAGAAAGTATTTAGAGCTAAGGGTTGCTTTCTTGATTATTTTTATTGATTGATTTTGTATTGTGGTAACACCTACAGGCTAGGGTCCATTGTGGTAGGCACTGTAGAAACATATAACAAAGAGAGTGTCCCTGCCCCAATCTTAGTATAGATAAGAGACAACAGGTGGTACAATATACAGCTGGAGGGAGCATAATGGGAACAATAAGATACATGATATTGGCTGGCATAAGCAGTGGTCCCAACACAACAGCTGTCTAACCATTACTGAGTCTAGCTTTAATAGTCATCTGTATCAAGGACAGTCATGTTAGAGTCGTTCCCCTTCAGGACATTTTCCCTCATAACTACAAACAGTAGTCACAAGAGTCTGTTAAATCTAACATTTACTGACTACAGGCGAAATATAAATAAGAGGGAGAACTCAGGAAAGGAACTATATACATATTTTGCAGAAAAAATTCATTACTTTTATACAGGAAAACCACTTCAAATAATTCTTTTTAAACTAGAGTGAGTACAGGTACTTATGTTTCTATAGAAGATGTAGAATAAAATGTTAAACATCACCTAAGTTTCATTTTCAAATGTAACTTAGTCACTTAGGAGCCTCAGTCCCACTGACTTTTGGTGCCAAAGTCACTTTTGAAAATGGGACTGAGACTCCTAAATCACTTAGGAGCTTCTGAAAATGTTATCCCTAATCTCCTACAGCTTCTCTGATTACTCAGGAAACATCTTCTGGTTGTCAGCTCAAGTAATTTTGAGAAAATTCCAGTGGTCAACCCTTTCTTCTACCATGTAGTATCAGGAAGGAGGTTCCAGTTTTAAGACTCCACCCTTATTTAAAGGCTATCTGGTGGTCCTACTGTTTCAAGAAACACCCCTTCCAGCACACAGCCTGTCAGCTACACCTTCTCCCAACAGTTGTCTCGCCCTCAAAGGACGCCTGAGAGAGGTGCATAGAATGAGTGTGTTACCTTGAATACCTCTGTTCTAAGGTCTATCTGTCATGGAGTAACATTCAGGGGGGCGCAGCTGGGGCCCAGACCAGCCCCCAGAGAGGGCAGGGAGGGAACTCCGCCCCTGGATCCAGTCCCAGCTGCTGGCCCCGCCCACAGCTCTGGGGGAAGGGGGCAAGGACAAGGGTATGGGGAGGCGTGAGGTTAAAAAGTTTGGGGACCACTGCCTTAGAAGATGTTGTGAAGACATATTTCCATATTCCATAGCACCGAGTGGCAACTCTTACATTACAGGTGAGTTTTGTTTAGGAGTGCAGTAGTCTCTAGCCATTTTAAAGTGTAGCTTCACTTTGAAAAGTGACTATATAAAATGTTTCCATCACAAGCATTTTATTCATTGTATGTATTTTAGCAAGAGATGACTCTGAGTAATCTCTCTCCTTAGAAATAAACTTATTTGGCTGATGCACCAACAGAACTGTTAAACTAATAGTAAAACCTTTGTTATATATGAGCCAAAATAACCCAACTTGTCTTTCAGGTTTCAGATTGAATTGTCAGGGCTGGATATTACAAAAAACATCTTTTTACTGGCAAATGGTGCAAAATTGCTCTGGAAATCATTGGGACATATAAAATATGGAACTCCATAATGCCATTTTTACACAGTCGCTTTTCAGACTCGAACCACACTTTAATCAAAATACCCTTTTTGTTGTTGTCTACTTCTCCATTTTCCAGGTCGAATTTATAGTAAAACTCCTGAGTCTAGGTCCCTTGTATGGTCATGTAGCGTTAAACATTGCAGCTTTTTTTTTTTTTTTTTTTTTAATCGGAGTCTTCCTCTGCTGTAGTCCATAGGTATTTTGAATGGTTGTACCCACCTTCTCCAGGTATCTGGTACATTCTGGCTAAAACGTAACTGCTAATGTGGGGGATGCACATTTTCCATTGTCCTGCTAAATCCTTCAGTTCATTTCCGAGACACCACCATCACTGTGTTAGAGACACAAGGTGGGTGAGGCAATATCTCTTACTGAACCAACTTCTGTTGGTGAGAGAGACAAGTTTTTGAGCTTACACAGAGCTCTTCTTCAGATCACCACCACCACCATGTAACATTTATACCATCCACTCAAAGCATCCTGCTTGACCAATTTGTCTGTCCTACCGCCTCCTTGTTTGCTTCCTGACTAGGTAGCAGTCTAGCAATGCATGTACACTGACATTTTCCAACAGTAGGGCATAAGTTACACACTCAAAATATACATGAACAAAGCATACAATTGTCATTGTATATCTATCTAGTCTATGTAATGTATTTATAGAGCACCAATCACAGTATCTAGGCACTGTTATGGGTGTTGGTATTTTTGCTTAGAGTACCCAGTCTATATGTGCATGATTGTTCTGTGTGCACACATTATGTAGAGTCAACTTACATGCTTGTGTTTGAAAATTTAACCCCTAGAGATATTTTGCTAAATGTGATGCAAACAATTGCTGAAGGATACAGTTCTTATTTTGAATTTGTTGGCTGAGCTTGTAGTGGCTACATTGGGAATCTAACACAGCTGCAAGCCTAGAAATTAGATCATTATGTACTGGTTACAGAAACTTAGTCAGCAGAAGTAGGTGCTCTGCTGATGCCTCCTATAGGGCAGGGGTAGGCAACCTATGGCACGTGTGCCGCCTTCAGATTTTCAGTGGCACTTCCACTGCCTGGGTCCTGGCCACTGGTCCAGGGGGCTCTGCATTTTAATTTAATTTTAAATGAAGCTTCTTAAACATTTTAAAAACCTTATTTACTTTTACATACAACAGTAGTTCAGTTATATATTATAGACTCCTAGAAAGAGACCTTCTAAAAACGTTGTAAGGTTTTGCGTGCCAGTCATACATTCTATTAGAGTGAATAAATGAAGACTCGGCACACCACTTCTGAAAGGTTGCTGACTCCTGCTGGGGAGGGGGGGGGAAGAAACAACTGAAAACTAGAGAGGATCTTCCAGATATGTTACTAAAAAGATAGGGTTCCACTGGTGTCATGCACACTGGCTTGATTCTTCTTGGGTACTCAGTTGGTAGTGTGTGGATTTTTATTAAAGAAAAAGACAAAGTATTTGACTAGAAGAAAAATGCGTCCATACATGGACTTTGTGAATAGATATAAGCGGGGAAAAGTAGGACAAATTTGCAGGCCTACTAATCCTGATCATGTCGCTATAAGTCCTAGTAAAATAAGGTCCATGTGTCAAAAGTGTTACCTGTAATCCTTTAAGAAGCTGATTACTAGCATCATCTGAACAAATCGTTAGGTAAGTGGTAGTGAATGTCCTGGAGAAAGCATGCAGACAAATAATACAGAATCTAGCTAGTTAATAACCAAAAACAAATGATGTCATGATGCAGTTCCAAAAGAGTGATTGATGTAGGAAATTAAAATAGCCTAATACTTTAGTTGCTATTTTAAAGGTTAATGTGTCCGAGAGTTCTGCAGCTTGGAAAATTTATTTCAAAAGTGGATGTGATTGCTTTTCCACTAATTAATATCCTTTGTTATGTGAAATTTAATTTCACAAGTGTAGTCCACACAAATTTTACATGTATTAAATGTATATACATTTAGGTCAAGGTTTTCAAAAGTCGTTGCCTAAAGTTAGATTCCTAAATTAGTGATTTTCACAGGGGCTGTGTACCCAGCAATTCTCGTTGACTTCATTGGAAGCTATTGGGTCCTCAGCACATTTGGAAATTTCATCGCTTATAATTAGCTACCTACATATGGATTTAGGAGTAACTTTAGACACCCACTTTTGAAAATCTTGGCCATACATTAAAGTACAATGCTTCTACAGAATGCTATAGTGAAGGCAAATAATTATAGTGAAAAGATTTTAATATAAAAATATGGTTCTAAAAGCATACAATGCCTCTGGAAGGTATGGAGTGATTAAAATGGAAAATATATGGTTATTCTGGATTGCTGTATCTGGCCTTTAAAAATAAGTACACACACTCAAAACCAGCAGACAAGCAGTCTTTCCATGTTGTGTTCTTACAGCATGTGGGGTTTTTTTCATATTACAGTGTAAGATGTTAGATTATACTCTTTGGTTACATCCATAGGAACGAACATGATAAATGTGTGCATTTTGAAGATTTCTCAGTAGACCATATTCTTGGGTTTCAAAGCACTTTGTTCAAAAAGATCATTTTCATTATAGCTTGAATCTGGCCTGCTGATGTGTGTTAGCTGCCAGTTTTTAGTCCTGACAACAGACTTGACATATGGTATCAATGGACTCTTTGGCTATCACTGCTAGTTGTGCTGAATGTGTCCTGAGGCTTGTTAGTGAGTGGGTGTCTATGAGGCGGCTGAAGAGGCTCTATTTAGTCTTTGTATTCTTTGCATGATTGTGGCGGTTAGCAGTAACACCCTACATCTGTCGAGGAAGCTGTTCCTGGGATCCTTTTGTTGTTGTCTGGATCTAAATATATCTATAATACCTGCTTTTGTGTACCTTCTTCCTGCTTAAAGAGCCAAATTTGCCTTCACTCAGGCAAATCGCCCATTTAACCCCATAAGAATTTAACAGTAAGGACCGGAAGATTTGGCTTATATTGAATGTACTAGACTTCATATTTTTGCAGAAGAGGGGAGCATACTTCAAAATCTGTGCATGGGGGCCCAAATCCCAATGATGTCAATGGGACTCTTTCCATTGACTTCAATAGGATCAGACTCCAAAGCTAACTTTGTATTGTCTAAGCTAAGATTATCGGTGTCTTGTTCAGAATCTTGCAATGAATTATTTTCATGTAGTTGCATTAATGTTCCACATTTTATCAAATAACTTGCTTTACGAAGAAACTAACCTAGTATGGTATATTTAGTATATTGTTAACCAGTAAATTAGTTCATCAAATTTGTACTTTGCTGTGTATGTTAATGCCAGAATAAAAAGAGAATTTTGTTGTTGCAGGTGAGAGATCTTTCCATTGCTTATCTCCTGGTGGGATTAACATATCTCTATGTTGGACTGTTAATTTTTGCTGCATTTCCCTCTCCACCGTTGTCCAAAGAGTGCATTGAACAGGTAGGGTAAGACACTTGACTGCACTGTTTCCATCCCTGCCCTTCTAATTATTGTGTGTGTTTTAAAAACAAACAAACAAAAATCCATACTTGTTCCTCATCCACTAACTTCTGTCTATCTCTGTGTGACTGGCTCTTTGGGGCAGGGACTGTCTGTTCTTCAATGTGTGGAAAGTGACTAGCCTGTTGTGGGCACTTTGACAAACAAATATCAATGATAGCATTGACTCACTAATCTGCCTGCCACTACTTCCGTAGCCATGTAAGGATAAACATGATAAAACAGATGTCTAACCGTTGTGACTGGGAGAACCAAAGTGTGCTCAAAGAAATGAAATCAAACTTGTGAGCTGGCTGGGTTTTATTAATTTGGGAGGGGGAGGGGCGCTACATGGCTAATTTGTCTGAGGGCATATTGACTATGAGCTGAACAGTTCAGGCTTCCTTAGGCTCTGATCCTGCAAAGATTATGTATGAATTTAAGTTTATGTGCAGTGACTAATCCCACTGAAGTCACTGGGGCTACTGACAGCTGCTAAAATGAAATACCTGCCTTAATCTGTCAGGATTGGTGGTTTAGACGGTAAAATATCTGGGGGCAGGAACCATCTTTCTGTTTTATGTATGTACAGTGCCTAGTACTGTGAGGGGTCCTGATTGGGGCCTCTGGGCACTAGTGCAATACACTGGCAGGAAGGCTATCATACCTTCCACTCCCTCATCCATCCATTGGGCCACCCTGATCCCCCTTGCCTCAGACTGCTTCAAAAAGTGGTGGTCTTTTCATGAATCATTTCATGTAAGATGCTGTGCATGTCCTGTTGAGAATTTAGCAGTGGAGCACCACATGGAGGGAGGCTACTGACAGGCTATAGCCATATCAGGACTGAAGATAATGTTTAACCATGAAGCTCTTCTGTGAGCCATTTGAAAGAATTTCATGGGCTGAAGATCTATGATTAAATAATGGCTGTCAAACACTTTTCTTTTATTGTTAGTAATTTAACAGCTGTTTCAACTTGTCGAATCCATCCATTCCGTATTACCTGTATAGGATCCAGCTTGAATTATTACAAATAAGTCCCCAAAAAGGTGGCTTTGTCATGGAACTGCAGTTTCTGAAAACAAATAAGGTTTTATGAATTTTCCCAGGGAGGAAGGATACTTTCACTTGCACCAAGAACTGTTTATGCACTTTATTGGGCAATGAGATGCCTGCTGGAATATCATGATTCCTAAGGTAAAGGGACCTAGAGGCAATAAAATATTCTTAAGCGTTATCAGTAGTTACAATTAATTCATGTAAATATGTGGCTAATAGGAGCATTTGAAATCCTTTGCATATGAAGTCAGGGATGTGTGCTGTTTGGAAAAATAAATGTCATCTAGTGAGGGCAATACACAAATTAAATCACTGGCCTTTCATATTACAAACCTTAGGTTATATTTAGTTGTATACAAGCTGCACAAGAGAGAGAGTTCAATTTTATGTCTTTGATTTGAGAAGCACTATTCAGGCTTCATTTTTTTTCCTCCTCGCAACACGTTTTAGGAATCTAATACAACTGTTGTCAATCCTGCCTAATTAGCCTTTCTTATTTTAGAATTTTTTAGACAATTTTCCCAGCAATGACATCATGTCATTTGTTGCAAGATTGTTCCTGCTGTTCCAGATGATAACTGTGTACCCGTTGCTTGGCTATTTGGCACGAGTTCAGCTATTAGGACATGTCTTTGGCAATGTTTATCCAAGGTAAGGACTCTACCCTGTGTCAAGGAATTGACCTACAATGCTTCACTGGTTTCTTTTGTGCCAGATATTCTGCTAAGGTTATGGAGTTTGGCAGTGGGGGAGACGTATGTGTTTCAAAAACTACCCCTGCAGTTTTGCAGTGACGTATTTGATGGCCAAGTTTGTGAAGGCTAAAGATTGGATGAGCATGAAAAAATAAGCTATGCTCTTGCCTTCAGAAATGGGCTCTGCAGGTCAGGGCAGTGACACATTTGTTGGGGCAGGATGAGAAATCTTGCATTTCAGCTGCCTGTTCTATGGACCCCTTAGGCTGGGGGAGGGGACTTTAGATGTAACCGGGCTTGTGCCCACCCACCCCAGGAACTCAATAGGTGCCCCTCCAACAGAGTGGGCACTATATGGGGTTCTCTGTTTGGTGTTCCCCTCTGACTACTTGCTTTTGACCCTCATTCCCATCCCTGTGTTTTCATTTGTTGTCCCCCGTATTTGCTTGAGCCCTGGGTTCAGTGGTTCCTCCCTTTAGGCTGGGGGAAGTGCCTTTAGATGTGGGCAGGTTTGCACCCCATCCCACCCCACTGCCCCCTGGAACGCCGTAGGTGCCTGTTCTGTGGATAAACAGTCAAAACCAGAAGTCTGAAGCCAGAGGGGAGCAGAGATAGGAACAAGGGCAAGCACAGCTGCAAGCGTGGTATGCCTTGAACAGCCACTGAACTGCTGTGGGGACCAGGCTTACGAACAGGACTGCTAAACCAGCAGCCAGCTGGGCTGTGGCCACTCTGACAGTGCTAAGGCAGTGCAGCTGGGCTCATTAGTTGCCTAGCAGCTAGGGTTGCCAATTTTGGTTGGACGTAATCCTGGAGATTTAATCACATGACGTAATCTTTTAATTAAAGATGAATCTTTAATTCCTGGATACTCCCGGCCAATCCTGGAGGGTTGGCAACCCTACTAGCTGCACAGTTAGTCAGGGAGCAGACCAGCAGCTGTTTCTTCCCAGCTGCAATCAGGAACAGAGTTTAGACAAAGGATAAGCATCCCTCTCTGGGCAGAATTTTTTCTCATGTGTTGACTCCACAACTCAAATTGTTTGAAGGGGAACTTTTTGCCAGTTTACATTCCAGCAGATTCACTTAGACAAACCAATGCTAGTCAATTAGACAATTAAACAGTTATAGCTTACTTGACCCCATAAGGAAACAAAGAGCTCCAGGAGTCCTACATAGGAAAGTCTGCTAACTCTTCATGGGGGAAGGAAGGGAATGCCTCATTGCTCTAAGGGTACGTCTATACTACCCACCGGATCAGTGGGTATTGTTCGATGTATCGGGGATCGATTTATCGCGTCTTGTCTAGACACGATAAATCGATCACCGAATCGACGCCTGTACTCCACCTCAGCAGGAGGAGTCAACGGGGGAGCTGCGGCGGTCGACTCACCGCGGTGAGGCCGGCCAGGTAAGTTGAACTAAGATACTTTGACTTCAGCTACACAAATAGCATAGCTGAAGTTGCGTATCTTAGTTCAAACCGCCCCCACTAGTGTAGCCCAGGCCTCAGTTCACCTTTCACTAAGCGAGAGCTAGATCTATCTCACAGATGCTCCAAGGAAAAACTTGATCTTTTGAAGAAAGGGTTCTCCTCCCTGCCATGTTCCAGTTCCTGGTAAGTAAGTGAAGGATCTCCACCAGGTATAATTCTGCTAATGTAGGGAGTGTCCATCTCGAAAACATTATTTGAAATACATTAGTTCTCTGGCAGGTACCTTCACAATTCATTGTGCTAGCGTCTTTTTGCACATGTTTGCCCCACTGCTTTTCTTCACAGGTAGTTGAAGGAGTTAAGTCAAAAGGGCAGATAATTTTCTCGTGATCTTCTCATTGCCAAGATATGTCCTGAGTTTGTAAATCACTAGCATAGGAATTGCCACACTGGGTCAGACCCAAAGTCCATCTAGTCCACTATCGTGTCTGTGACAATGGCCAGTACCAGATGCTTTAGAAGATCAAAAAATCTTGTAGTAGAACTATGGAAAAATTGGACCATTGGTAGGAAGATGCTTCCTAATCACCATTATTTAATGGTTGGTTTATGCTCTGGGACATGAATGTTATGTCCTATCTAATGTAACTATGAATGTTCTCTTTGCCTATATAAATGGCTAATCCTCTTTTAATCTTGCTAAGCTCTTGGCTTTCATGATATTTTTGTAGCAATGAGTTCCCCAGGTTAATTATGTGTTGTGGGTTAGATATAAAAAGGTATTTCATTCTGTGGGTTTTAAATTCGTTGCCTCCTGTATTGTGAGGATAAATAGGCTGATGCAAAGAAATCATTGAGCATCTCTTCAATGTCTTTCCTCCTTAATTGCTCCCTTTTCTGCCTGGTAGCCCAGCAGACCCATCCGTTCTCTCACAGGCTTGCTGCTTCTGCTATAGTTAACTATTGAGTGCTAAGAGTTTAACTCTTTATAGTACTCTACAGTTAAGGCTTGTTATTTGTATTTCTTTGATTTATTTGCTCTTCAAATTTCATTTTAGCTGTCCTAATATCCATCTTACATTTTACCTGCCATGTTTTATGTTCCTTTCAACTGGCGTCACTTAGGCTGGATTTCCAATTTGGAAGAATACCTCTTTGCCTTCAGTGACCTCTTGAATTTTGCCATTTAACGATACTGGAGTTTAGTTTTGTTTTTTTTCTTGCTTTCCTACTTCCCTTTTTGTTAGTGATGTGCATGCCCCTTGTGACTCAAGCATGGTGGGCTTAAGTAGCCACCATGCTGAGTGTAATGTTTTTAATTTCCTTTCTTTTCAGGCTTTTTAATCATTTTCTTCACTTCAAAAAAAAAAATCCCCTTCTCTACAGTTTGATTTCAGTTTTTGGCATGATTCCTCTAAGGATACTGAACTTAATTATATTGTAATCACTATTGCTTAGTTGCTCAACTGTAGTTACTGCTTCCATAAAAAGGTTATTTCTATCTCAGGTTCCCCAACCTTCTTTCATAGTGTCAGACCTTCCCCCAGATCCTGGCAGTCTGATCAACAAAATGGCAGATGAAATTCAATGTTGGTAAATGCAAAATAATGCACATTGGAACACACAATCCCAACTATACATGCAAATCAATAGGATCTAAATTAGCTGTTACCACTCAAGAAAGATTTTGGAGAACTATCCATGATGACTCTGAAACATCCACTTAATGTGCAACGGCAGTCATGTTAGGAACCATTAGGAATGGATAGATAACAAGACAGAAAACATCATCATGCCACTATTTAGATTCATGGTATGCGTCCACCTTGAATATTGCATGCAGTTCTGGTCGCCCCATCTCAAAAAAGATGTATTAGAATTGGAAAAAGTACAGAGAATGCAACAAAAATGATTAGGGGTTTGGAACAGCTTCCATATGAGGAGAGATTTAAAAAGACTGTGGCTGTTCAGATTAGAAAAGAGATGAGGGGAGATGTGATAGAGGTTTATAAAATCATGAATGGGGTGGAGAAAGTGAATAGGGAAGTGTTCTTACCCCTTCACATAACACAAGAACCAGGGTCACCTAAAGAAATTAATAGGCAACAGGTTTAAAACAAACAAAAGGAAGTACTTTTTCACACAATGCACAGTCAACCTGTGGAACTTGTTGCCAGGGGTTGTTGTGAAGGCCAAAGGCATAAATAGGCTTAAAAAAAGAATTAGAGGAGTTCACGGAGGATAGGTCCATCAATGGCTATTAGCCAAGATGGTCAGGGATGCAACTCCATGCTCTGGGTGCCCCTAAGCCTCTGATTGTCAGAAGCTGGGACAGGATGACGGGATGGATCACTCAAAAATTGCCATGTTCTGTTTGTTCTCAGAAGCATCTGGCATTGATCACTGTCTGAAGACAGGATACTGGGCTAGATGGATCATTGGTCTGACCCAGTATGGCCATTCCTATGTTCTTAGAGATTAACTCTCCAACATGAAACATCATTGAGACTTTATTAAGATCCCAATGCTCCTCTGTTTCCTGTTGCTGTTAGAATAAAGGGGCTAGAATTGCTGTTCTTTCAAAGTGCCACTCAATACAAGGATGCAGTTGGGGGTGGAACATAGATGGCTTTCAGCTATCTTTGCTGCATCAAAATTGTGGGACCATCTGGGGGCCTGCCTTGCTTCCAGTGTAAATTAGAACTCTCCTGAGGCTACTCTAACTTATGCTTGGCCGCAACATCTTTTAAGGGGCTGTTCTGGCAACTGAATATAGCTAGTGGGCCACACACCCATCTAATCCTTCAGGCTTCCTCTACTATTTTCTCTATGGTGGAGGCTGTGAGGGGGAGTGGTACAATCAGAGTCAACTATGTCCCACCAGGGGAATTCCCCAGTAGGCTGGCTATGGGTTAAGGAACTGATACAGAATCCGATTTAAGGTCTCTGAAATCTTATAAATGTATTCTCAGTAAAATCCTAGACTTTTCCAAAGAGGGTAGCACCATCATGACTCTGTTTTTGCAGTGATTATGGTGATTAGGGTTGTTAGGCGTCCAGTTTTCGACCAGAACACCTGGTTGGAAAAAGACCCTGGTGGCTCCGGTCAGCACAGCTGACCAAGCCACTAAAAATCCAGTTGGCTGCAGCGGCCAGCTCCACATGGCTCCTGGAAGCGGCCGGCCGTTTCCTCTGGCTCCTAGGTGTAGGGGTGGCCGGGGGGCTCCACACGCTGCCCCTCCCCGTGGCGCAGGCACTGCCCTGAGCACTGGCTCCGCAGCTCCCATTGGCTGGGAACCATGGCCAATGGAAGCTGCGGGGACAGAGCCTGTGGGCGGGGGCAGTGCCCACTGGTTACCCCTCCGCCTAGGAGCCAGAGGGACATGCCAACTGCTTCCAGGAGCTGCCTGAGTTAAGCACCAACCAGAGCCCACATCCCGAACCCCCTCCTGTACCCTAACCTCCTGCCCCAGCCCTGAATCCCGTCCCGCACCCAAACTCCCTCCCAGAGCCCACACTCT